AAAGCTTTTCCACTGAAGGATGAGGAGGAGTGGAGGAGGAGGAGGAGGAGGAGATTGGGTTTATACCCCGCCCGTCACTACCCAAAAGGTGTCTCAGAGCGGCTTACAAGAATATTCTTCTATACCGACATCTAGCTCTAATCTAGTCCACACTTTCTCCTTATTAACAGAGAGGTAGCACAATTATCAGCACCTCTTACCTCTTTATTGGTTGATAAATGTTCTAAAATGGTAGCATAGTTTAACTGTTGAATAACAGGTTCTGATGCAATTTGATCCTTATCTCTTGTTGTTGCTTATTTCATGCTTTAAATGTTTATTGTTGTAAATGATTATTTAAAAATGAATAATATAAAAAAAGAGCAGCTTACAAACTCCTTTCCCCTCCCCTCCCCACAACAGGCACCCTGTGAGGTAGGTGGGGCTGAGAGAGCTCTTGACAGAAACTGCTCTTTTTTCAAGAACCGCTTTTATCAGAACTACGGCTTGCCCAAGGTCATCCAGCCAGGTGCAAGAGTGGGGAATCAAACCCAGTTCTCCCAGATTAGAGTCTGCACACTTCACCACTACACCAAACTGGCACCTAGGCTTTCCTTAGTCAGTATGTGGTTCCATTCCACCTTCAGGCTTTCCTTCTACCCAGGAGGTGTGAGGAGAGAGGTATTCCATTTGGTTTTGCCTCCTGCGGCAGCCATTTTGAGGTGACGCTGACCACCTCTTCTAAAAATCCCAAAGGTGCCTGTAGGTCCAAAAGGGTTGGGAATCCCTGCTGTAGAGACAGTGCTATATTTCAGAATGACAGTGGTGCTGATTAAGCATGTTAGATGTGGACTGACAGTCAGCAAAGTTAGAGGCATGTATCATAGAATCATAGAATGTTAGAGTTGGAAGGATCATAGAATGTTAGAGTTGGAAGGGACCTTGCAGGTCATCTAGTCCAACCCCCTGCACTCTGCAGGAGCATAGCTGAAAGACAGCCCTACAACATACCCGAAAGATGGTCGTCCAGCCTCCGCTTGAAAACGTCCAGTGAAGGAGCATCCGCCACCTCCCGAGGCAGTCTGTTCCACTGCTCAACCACTCTTACAGTTAGGAAGTTTCTCCTGATATTATGACTCCCTTGTAATTTCCACCCATTCTATCTAGTCTTGCAATCCGGAGCAAGAGAGAATAGATCTGCTCCATCTTCTACATGACAGCCCTTCAAATATTTGAAGACTGCAATCATGTCCCCTCTAAGTCTTCTCTTTCCCAGGCTAAACATACCCAGCTCTTTCAGCCTTTCCTTGTAAGACTTGGATTCCAACCCTCTCACCATCCTGGTTGCCCTCTTCTGGACATGCTCGAGTTCGTCAACATGTGGTGCCCAAAACTGGACACGGTACTCCAGGTGAGGCCTGACCATAGCAGAATAGATTGGAACTATCACCTCCCGTGATCTGGACACAATGCTTCTGTTGATGCATCCTAAGATTGCATTAGCTTTCTTCACAGTCACATTGCACTGCAGGCTCATGTTTAGCTTGTGATGAACCAGAACACCCAGATCCCTTTCTCATGTGCTGCTGTCAAGCCAAGTCCCTTGTCAAGCCAAGTCCCTCCCATCAGTCAAAAACTTTTCCAGGTTTCACTGCAGTCTTTGCCATTGCTAAGTTGCTCATTTGGATCTTGTCCATCAGAGTGGAGTAGCTGTACAACGGGTGCCATTGTAGTGGTGTCAGCGATATAAACGCCTTTGTTCCTCATTGAATCCTAGCAGATAAAAAGTTTATTTATTTATTTATTTACAGATTTATATGCCACCTTTTTGACCTTACAGAGGCCACCAAGGTGGCTAACAGTTTAAAACCGACGTGATAAAATCACATTTTAAAACCATTAAAATCAACTCCCCTCCCAAACACACGTCATTAAAACAATTTTTTAAAAATCAGAGTTAACATAGATACAAAACAGAGTTAAAATACAAACAAAACTGACACAAAGCATTAAAAAATTGGTAGGAAGGAATAGACTTCCCTACATTCAGCATATGCCGTGGTGTAGTGGTTAAGTGCATGGGCTCTAATCTGGGAGAACCGGGTTTGATTCCCCACTCCTCCGCATGCAGCTGCTGGATGACCTTGGGCAAGCCATAGTTCTGACAAGAGCTGTCCTTGAAAGGGCAGTTTCTGTCAAGAGCTCTCTCAGCCCCACCTACCTCACAGGGTGTCTGTTGTGGAGAGGGGAAGGGAAAGGAGTTTGTAAGCCGCTCTGAGACTCCGAGTGAAGGGTGGGCCAATCTCCTCCTCCTCCTCCTCCTCCTTCTCGGAGAATTGCTAGCAATTATTTTTAAAAGGAGTCATAAGCAAAAGAGTAAATGCATGTACGCGTATAAGTTATGGAAGAGGAATGATCCTGAAAGGATTTTTATGTATTTATTTATTTCTTCATATTTATAGCCCGCCCTTCCCACGAGTGGGCTCAGGGGATGTAACAACATGTTATTAATACAAAAGCAACATTTCATTAATAGAATAAATAATTAAAATATTTTAAAAACTATCATATACATTAAAATGGTGGTCACAATCTTACAGGAAAGATTTTTAACGGTTGCAAGGGGCTCTGGCGTACAATAAGACACAGATAATGCCCAGCAGTTGTTAAAATGGGTGGCAGAAATCTGACAAAGTGAGCTTTGACCCACGGAAGTTTATATCTTGGAAAATTCTGTTGGTCTTTGAGGTGCTACTGGGCTTGAATTTTGTTCTATCTTGAAAGAGGACATTTGTGAGAGTGTGCTAAATAGTGGGAAAACTCTGCACTCTTGAAATAAAAGCGCTCGTTATCCACTGAGGTTTCCAGACTGCTGCTGATTGTATGGAACTGCTGTGTTGCCATATCAGCCTGTCCAATCGTTCTTACCTAAGTGCCCAAAATGACAGCCATGCCCAGAGAGAAGGCTGTCACACACCACCAGTGTTCCCTCTAAGCAGAGGATGTTTGTGAGAGTGTGCTGAATAGTGGGCAAACTCTGCACTCTTGAAATAAAAGCGCTCGTTATCCACTGAGGTTTCCAGACTGCGGCTGATTGTATGGAACTGCTGGGTTGCCTTATCAACCTGTCCGATCGTTCTTACCTTTGTGCCCAAAATGACAGCCATGCTCAGAGAGAAGGCTGTCACACACCACCACCTATTGCTGGCACTGGATGGGTGAATTGGGAACATTGCACACCACCACCTATTGCTGGCACTGGATGGGTGAATTCGGCCTTCAAAGCCAAACTTTGCAGAAGAGATTTCAAATTGGGGGGGGACCTTGTGTCATTAGCTCTCTGGTTACTGTAAAGCAGTACAGATTTTGCATTACACGGGAGTAACTGTTTGAGGGCTGGTGAGGATATAGCAAGCAATGAGTAGCATGTGGGTTATGTGTATTTATCTTGGCTTTTTAATGCCTAAAATGTTACCTTCTTTGTGTACATATCCTGCTTTTTCTTTAAGCAGCTCAGAGTGGTGTGTTAGGATCACAACCATCCTGTGGAGATAGGATAAACTACCTGTTTGACGCCACCAGTTAATTTGAGAGCAGAGCAAAGATTTGAAGCGGCTATTCCCATCTCAATAGCTGTTAACACCAAACTTACAGCGCAGTGCTGTGGAGAGTTGCTCCAGTCTAAGACCATTGACTTCAGTGGGTTCAGATTGGACTAACTCACCATAGGATTATATTATTACCTTCCTTTTTTCTCTCCCAGATTTATTTCACTCGCCTTAATGTTCTTTATTAGTTACTCTGTGTATGTGTGTAAAATATATAGGAGTTTCTTTGTCTCTTCTTGCATAGATGGAAAGAGAGACTTGGGGGTATTTCATGCAAATACAAACAGGACCTCTCAGAAGGAATTTAATCAATAATGTACTCCTCAGCGTGCATGTTGGACTGGATTATAAAAACCGGTTAGCGTGCATCTCAAAGCAAAACCCCACAGCATCTCACTAAATCCAGTGTTTAACATTTGGTTACATAAGCAGATGTCGTTATTAATACCCATTGTGGGCCAGGATCCAAAGAGGACCTGTGCACGTAAAGGAAGATGGATAGTAGATAATCTCTTTCTGATTGCAGCATGTCATGAATTGTTGAACGGTGTTCTTGGAGGGTCTTCTGACTTTTGGTGTGACTTGTGAGAGGAGGGGTGTAAAGACGTGTGGTAGGGTGGGGGATATAATAAAACAATTCTGGAGAAGAAATTAAAATGCGGCTTCTACACCATACTATATCCTGATTAAACTAGGTTATTCTAGGTGAGCCAGTTTGGTGTAGCGGTTAAGTGTGCAGACTAATTTGGGAGAACCGGGTTTGATTCCCCACTCCTCCCCACTCCTCCACTTGTGGCTGTTGGATGGCCTTGGGCAAGCCATGGTTCTGACAAGAGCTGTCCTTGAAAGGGCAGTTCTGGAACGAGCTCTCTCAGCCCCACCTACCTCACAGGGTATCTATTGTGGGGAGGGGAAGGGAAGGAGTTTGTAAGCCGCTCTGAGACTCCGAGTGAAGGGTGGTGTATAAATCCAATCTCCTTCACTTCTTCTTCTCTTTATACTTGAACATATAAGTACAGTTGTAACAATAGGTGTGAAAAATGTTCTATTTGATATACTTGAATGTATAAGTACAGTTGTGACAATAGGTGTGAAAAATGTTCTATTTGAGCCTTATCTTCATTTGTGTTATTGAATCTCAAGAGCTAGATTCGAGTCCAGTAGCACAATACAGACCAACAAGATTTTCGGAGTACAAGTTTTTGAAAGCCTATAGCCTGAAAATCATATTGGTCTCTAAGGTACTAATGGATTCAAATCTAGGTCTTCTACTACAGGCCATTGCAGCTATCCTCTGAAACTGTGACTATCAAGAGGATGTGTATAGGGGATATTTTTGTAGTGATGTTGTCCTGAGGTTTAATGTACAGATTACAATGAAAATAAATTCTTCATGTTTTCCCTTCTTCCTAGATACGAACTGCGAATCCGATATTTACCGAAGGGATTTTTGAACCAGTTTACTGAAGACAAACCAACGTTAAATTTTTTCTATCAGCAGGTAAACATATGCTACATCTTTAATGTGAACTTGCTTTTGCATCTTGAAAGTTTGCTGTATTTGTGGAAGGAGCATATTAATGTAGGGACAGGAAAAACGCAATGTCATGCTTTTTTAATTAAAAAAATACACAACAGGGTTAGACCCGGGGGGGGGGGGGGGCGTTCTCTTCCCCCCCCAGTTCTATTATAGACTTCCCATTTAAGACCCTGAAGGTTTTTTAGGTGGTAAAGATTTTCAGATTTGGGATACAGCTTTCTGTATGGCAGTTATATTCTTTGTCCATCTTATGCAAAATGTCCTTGCTGAATTTAGCTAGTTTTATCAAAGATGTGCTTCCTTTTTTTCATTCACTGTGTTAGAGGCAGGGGTCTTGTTGTAGAAAAAGAGCTGCCGGAGCTCATTAGCATAACTCATTAGCATAACTTATTTGCATATGCCACGCCCCCTGACATCACCGGAAGTGACAGAAGGCCACACCCCCTGACATCCCCGACTAGAGCCCTGGTTAGAGGGGACCCCTGAAATTATGCTGCCTGCAGGAATCTCGCACACAATATGCTCCGTAGTCTTTTTGCTGCCAACCCACCTGCAAAGACCTATTTTTGAACATGCTAGTTTACTGAATTCCTGTGAATTGATCGTTGCAAATGCGGTCACATAATGGGAACAGAGGGGACTCTGATATTCTTGATTCTGTACTGCAAGTGTCACCTGTATGATACCTTGTAGAAAATTCCAGCTGAAATATTTGTACTGTATTTGAGTATAAAAGGTCCCATGAAAACTTTAGCTTGGACTTTGATTGTCATGTACTTGCTTCCTATTGTTGGGGGGGGGGGCAGTTTACACTGATTGCCTTTTCCTACTGCAAATTCCCACAATACACCCAACACTGTTTCTGGGGTCCCTGGACCCCGGGACAGCATTTGGATGGGGGGCATGCAGGAAGCTGCAGCAGGAGGAATAGAAGAAAGCTACTCAGCTTTGGATACAGCCTCATATATTTTTTGCTGTGTTCCTCTTCCATCAGCATGTTAATAAAATATTTATTGATTGTGGAATCAAGATATGTCAGTGTGATATTGATAGAATCAAGCAGATCATGAGAAGGAGGGCAGGAAGGGTTGCATCAGTGCTTAGTTCTTGTGGCCCTTTCTTACACACCCAGGGAAATGCTGATCGTCACTTTGGGGTCAGGAAGCTATTTTTTCCAGGCCAGTTTGGCTGGAGATCCTGGAGGTTTCTTGTCATCTTCTGGACTTGGAACAGGGGTCACTGGTGGTGTGTGCATGTGTGTGTGTGGGGGATATTTGTGAATTTCCTGCATTGTGCAGGCGGTTGGACTAGATGACTTTTGAGGTCCCTTCCAATTCTGTGATTCTGTGATTCTAAGTAACTTTGGGGAATGCATGTTTGTAGAAAGGAAGACTTCTGTTCATTTTTATATACAACAATATGCATACTTCCTGTGGAAGAAATGCTCTCCACCCAAGAATTCACACCAATATTTCAATCACTGTGACTGTACTCTGTGTGTGAGTTGGAATCCAGCTGCCACCCAATAGCTAGCAGGAAGGAGAGGGGGCAGGGGGTGAGCCATCAAGCTCCAACCTTTCTGAGCCTGCAGGCACCTTTGGAATTCTGACACAGGGCGATGGGCACAGTCACAAAATGGCTGCCACAGGAGGTGGAGCCAACCACAAAATGTCAGGAATTGAGGTTATATACAACGCTAATAGTGCCTCCTCAGCATTTCAGGCAGAAACTCTGTTTAACAGAGGATGCATTTTAATCTGAACAGCCTATCAGAAGACCTGCAGAGCAAAAGCCTCACCTAGCCCCGCCCCCTTTCTAAAAGCATTTGGTGGGCATCAGGAAAGGTGTTGGCAGGCACCATGGATCCCATAAGCACCATGTTGGGAGCCCTGGTTTGGGATGAGTACCAAGTGTAATGAAGATGGCTGGGTGTTTTCACCTTTTCTTTGTGCCTTTGTTCATCGTGAATGCTTGAACAGACTGTGTGTATTCTTTTTATTCATTTAATAAACTTGGTTACATTTTGGACCCTCGAAGCTTAGTCTATAGAGCCATGCCTGTTTGGTCTTGCTATCTGCATTGCGGCAGCAGCGAGGGGCAGTGGGTAAGCTCCCTATCCGTGGAGTGCAATAGCTCAGATTTGCACAGTTGACCTAGATCACCTCTGAGCTATCTTGTAGAAGTGTGAGGCATGAATCATGGCATTTAGGCAGAGTCTTTAAACAGTAATGCAGGTACAGAGTGCTAGACGGGCAACTCTGTTTAGCAGGAGATATTCTCAGGGTTACTGGTGGCAGTGGTGGTTATCCAGTTTGTTTTTGCTACACCCAGAGGATTAAGGGAAAATGTAGACTCAGGACAGTCTCAAGGTTTTCTGACCTCCCAGGGACCTGGCCTAAGGAACTGGGGGGAGGGGTCTGTTTGTGAGTTGGTTCCTTCAAATTCTGCAAGGGGTTTTCCTCCTAGACTCATTTCAGCCCCCATAAGGACTGCAACAGAAGTTTCAGGAGAGGCCTTTTTCAAACATCACTCCCTTCAGCACCAAGAGACAAGCTGACCCCGTGTTTTGTGTGCAGCCACATTTGTTGCATTCCTGTAACCTATTCTAAGCTGTCATGGATATCATTGGCTTGAAAGGCAAGGAGAAAACAGCACACAAAAGCAGCTTCTCTAATTTTTCCTCCCTTTTTGTCTCACTGTTTTCTGCACTTAAGGAGCAAAATGTCCATTGCACTTGCGAAGGCAAAGGAGTTGGAAGAATTTGCTTGTGAGGCAGGAGAACCTGTGGGAAATATGAGTCAAAAGGACAAGATAATTATTAACCATCCTTACATAGACTCTGGTTTTTAGGCTGCTCAGAGACTGCACATGAATGTTCTTAAGGGAACCCCCCCACCACCACCAAACACAGTATTTAATACATTAGATAAAACAGCAGACTCTGAAACAAGCAAAGGGTTTAAGTTTTACAATATGGCCACACTGGAAATTACATGTCAGCAATAGTTGAAGTTAAAGGTTGCTTCATTATTATGGTTGACCACAAAAACCAGAAAAGACCCAATGCTATAATAGAAATAAGTAAAGTAAGAGTAACAGATCAAATTATGATTCCTTCAATTGCTTTGCTCCACCTTCTGTTCCCAAGTGCATTGATTTTTGTTTGTTTGTTTGTTGGAGTGGAGAGAGTTGACAAACGGAAACTGTTTCCTTCCCACTGATCTTACATCAAATATTTAGATATCTGCAATCATAGAAGAATTTTTACCCTATTAAGATACAACGCCTTACCCTCAGCCATAATGGAGGCCAGATATACTAGATTACTGAGGAAAAGTTGTATATGTGGGATGGGAACTGACGAAACATTGGAACATGTAATTTTCGATTGTATTATATATCAAAATATTAGGGAAGTTTTGATCAAGCCTATAGTTAACTCCTTTCCAGGTCGTAATAGAAGGATACTTTTGTCTATTATGCTGGCAGGGGATAACCAAAAGCTGACTAGGATGGTTGCCAAATTTGGTTGGTTGGCATACCAAACTAAGAAAGAAATAAAGTACAGATAGGCCTAAATCTAATTTCTGATCCTAATATTGATTTTATCATGTCTGTATTTTAAAATTTTTAGATTCCTATTTATAATTTTAGATGCCATTATATTTTATAATTTAATTGCTCCCTTATCTGTACTTATTTGTCTTCTATTATACTGGTCTATGACCGTAATAAAGAACTTTGACTTTTTTGACAAACGGAACTTTTTCGCCCTCTCCCAAAATACTAGAACTCGAGGGCCTCCAATGATACTGATGGGGCAGTAGGTTCAGGATGGAAGAAAGGAAATACTTCTTTAAACAGAGAGTGATTAAAATGTGGAATTCGCTGTCAGAGGATGTAGTGATGGCCACAGGGATAAACAGCTTTAAAAGGGGATGAGATAGATTCATGGAGGATAAGTCTATCAATGACTATTAGCCATGGTGACTGAGTGGAACTGAATCCCAGATCCAGGAGGCAATATCAGGGGAAGGCCCCGGCCTCTGTGCCCTGTTGTTGGACCTTCAGAGGAACTGGGTGGCCCCTGTGTGAGACAGGGTGTTGGACTAGATAGACCCTCACTGGTCTCATCCGGCAGGGCTCTTCTTACTAGGGGAAGGCCTCGGCCTCTCTGCCCTGTTGTTGGCCCTCCAGAGGAACTGGTTGGTCACTCTGTAAGACAGGATGCTGGACTAGGTGCACTATTGGTCTGATCCAGCATGGTGGTTCTTATGTTCTTACTTTCATCTTATTTACTGAGCATGACTCATAGGGACCTGTAGCCTTCCCCTTTTAACCAGAACAACAACAGCAACAACAACAACATCCCAAACCTTTTGCTCTGTCTCAAAGATGGAAGATGGGATGGCTGCAGGAAACCGTCCATATGAAAGCTCTGACTGTGGCCAGCCTGGTGATAGGGGGGGGGGAGCTGAGCTCCAGTTTCAAAATGGCAGAGGCTAAGCTCTGTTTCTTTCCGCCTTTTACAGGCTTGTTTCCCCCCCCCCCCAGCTAACAGCTGAGTTGCGACTCTGTCGTTAAGAATGGAAGGGGGTGGGTTGGTAACAGCATTGAGCAGTGTGGGGACGGGTGTATGGAGCCCTTGGCCCCACTTGGGCCTGCTTCCACAGCAGGGGGCGGCGTTTCCTGCTCCCCACCCAGTGGAATCCACTTGGATTAGATTACAGTGCTCTGCAACTTATATTGCATTATTACGTAAGTCATACACAGGGATGTAAAAGTTCAGGAGAACTTTTCTGAACCATAGAAAATAATGAAGACATGTTCCATCACAAATCTGTACATGGTGTAAGGCCCCTAGGGACCAGCCTCTTCAGTGGTGATGGCTCATTTCTGGAACTTCTTCAACCTACCTGCCCACCTGACGCCACCGTTGCCTGGTTTTAGGCACCAGGTAG